CCTGGAAGCGGGTGGGGCATGGCACTTACCCGGCCGCACATGCCCTGGTAGGCCTCGGCGATCACCTGCCTCTGCGCGCCGCTGCGCTGCGTCAGAATGTCCAGCAGCAGGTCCTTGTCGCAGTCTGGAAAACAGCGTAATAGGAAAGTTGTAGGGGTGCTGCTCCGTAGCCAGGAAAGCCCGTCCTCTGGGGATCAGAACCAGCACGGGGGCGGTCCCGGTGATGCTGTAAAGCAGGGAGCGGTTCCGACTAAAAGGCAAATTGCAGGGCAGCCCCTGCTGGACTGAGCTTCCTCCCATCTCTCCTTGTGTCTACAGACTTCCCCTTTAAAAAGATCCAATAGAAACACAGGGTGGGAAAGAATGTGGCCTGTCTGCAGCCACCTCTCCCACCCCACCAACTAAGGCTTCCCTGGGCTTCAAGCTGATTTGTGTCTCAGTGGCCATAGCATCCTTCTCACTTCACAGCAGGAAGGATGCAACTCAGTGAGCGGACTTGCAGACAAAAATCCCTGCTGTGGGTCACCCTCCAGGAGGAGGAAGAGTAGGGATGGGGGCTGTGAAAGGATGGGGGTGTGCCCCTCCTGAGGGTGGGGGTGCCTCTCCCAGAACAGAGGCTCCCGCTGAGTGCACAAGTGATCCAGGTGAACCTAGCTGTAACCGTGGTCGTGGCCGACTGACCAGGAAGTCCTCAGCGCTTCCCGTGGCCCGGCCACCATGCAGACAGGCTTTCCTGGTGACAGGCTCTTGGGTTTTGTTTGTTTTTTGTTTTTCTTTTCTTTTTTTTTCAGGGAGCATTTACTTTGGAAAGCTTGCAGTGTGAATTCTCTCTACTCCTTTGAGATGTAAACCTTCTCTCAACCACCTGCCAGTTTTACAGCCCAGAAATGCCTTTCTTGAGGACTTGGGGTCAATTCCTTTGAAATATAATCGCCAATAAAGATAGACCCCCTGTCGCAGGGCTCTGCGCAGGGCCAGACCCTCCCTCCCCTAAGTACCTGTTAGCAAGCACGGACCAGCGACACCCCCAGCGTCCTCCAGAACTTGCCCCCTCGCTCACCC